AGTACGTTCACGTATGTCATAATCCGAAAAATGTGTTTTTACGTGACGAGTAATACGATATCGTATGTGACGATTCGAGCCCTGACTTTTTGGGTTAATGTTGTAGAATTAACAATATTTTTATAAAAAATCTGCGAAAAATAAAATAATTAAAAAAACACTTGTCCGTATTACAAAAAAAAAAAAAAAAAAAAATCGCAGTACCTAAATTTTATTAATTGACTGTATGTATGTATATCCTATTTGTATTTTGAAAAGTATTTGAAATGAAGGTATGGTTTTCAATGCGTTAGTTTTAGCGTTGAATCACGCCTTTTGTGTAAACTATAATGAATGTTCTTCAAATAGCCAACTTGAAAAAATGTATATGTACATAAATTATGATATTTTTATTTCCCGCTGATGGTATGGCAAAACTGCTACGCGGCATAGTGAAGCGGATGAAGTGAATACATGTTAAAGAGTTTGACCACATACCTGTAACAACTTCATGCTCTTCACTCTCTTCGTTGTCTTGAAATGACAACTCTTGGTATAGGGTATTAGCAGAGCGTTGCTCCTTTTTGGTTGTTGAACGCCCAACTGCGCGCACGCATTTTCCATAATTCAATTATGTAACATTTTATTGAAGTTGTAATAACAGGATTCGGGAAAGGTTAATGTTTGTTTTTTTTTTTAATTGTTTTCCGTTTTAATTGATTTTTATTTAGGTTAACACAAATGTTGTTGGATTCATGGAAGAAACGTGTGTGTGGAATGCATATTATTGTTATAGTGACAGGAAGATTAAAGAAATAAAAAAAAGAAAATCATTAGTACAATCGCAAACAGTTTATACTCGTACAAACATATGTAAATACTCGTATGTATTATATTTTATCGAATCTTTGCTTTTCACTCACCATTGGCTGGTGCATTTGGCACAACGGGACTCGTATCACTCTGCGGTGATGTTGCTTGGTTCTGCTGCTGCAGAGTGTCTGTTTCAGCCGCGCGCTCCACCGTCTGCAGGCTATCTAGCTCATTTTGCAATGACGGCGGCCCGGAATCATCTGAGTTGCTGCCAACACTACAGATTGTCTCTGTATCCAGCATGACTGAGTTTTCGAGTGAAGCAAAGCCATAAGACACTGGACCGGAAGACCTATAAAAAATATGACGATACAAGCAAATGAACAGTGGATAAACATTCAAATAAAAAGTAAGAAAATTTCAAAGGAATTTTGCGAAACGTAAAAATAAAGATAATAGAAAATATTTTCAATTTCGGAAAAAAAGAAAATTTTAGGCATTACCGAGCTATTGGATTTAACCTGGCTCTATTCACTTCCAATCGCTCTGATGCAGAACTCATTTGCGAGTGTGTCGAACCCATAAGCATTTTGGTGCGTTCCATGTAGTCAACATGGTTTTTGAAGAGCTCCGTGTAGCGCTCGTGTAGCTTGTTATACTCCTGCAGAGAGCGAATGTTTCAGTTGCATATATATATATATGTATTCATTTTCTAAAATTAAATCCAATTATAATAAATGCATATGCCTACCTTCTTCAATTCGGTCTCGCGCTCCTCCAAACGACTCGCATGCTCCAAACTGTTTTTATGCTTCAATTCGAGCATGCGCACAATGCTTTCCAACGACTCCAGCCGACTTGCGAGCTCTTTATTTTCCTGTTCAGCCACATCTTCGGCTTCTAGCAACTGCAATGTAACGGATGCTTATTAAATGGGCCTACATATTTTTAGTTTGATAATTATTTGGTTGCTTACCTTCTGCTCGGATTGTTTACGTGCACTCTTCTCTCGTTCGTATTGCGTGACCAGTTGTTCGTTGTCCTCGCGCAACAGCTCCAATTCAACATCTTGCTCCTGGTTAATGCGGTACGATGCATCCAGGCATTCTAAAACATTCACCAGCAGCGGCATAAGATTCTTAACCACATCTTCATCGTAACGGTTAATCATGCGTTCGAATTCCTGATAAATACTACCAGCTAATTGTTGTACCTAATTAACGAAGATAACGGTTATTGGTTAAGGGGAAATGTGTATGTATGTAAAGAGCTGGGTATACAAATTTTAAAAATGTAAAATTTATTTTATTGATGCGATAAACGTCGCTGTGAGAAATATTTTTATATATGTACATATTTTAATTGAAAAACCCAAAACTAGATTTTTCAGCTAACTGGTAGTCCAATCTTGACTTAAAGAGACCACATATTTTCTTTTGAAATTTTGTCAAAAAAAGTTATAGAAGTGGAAAAAATATTCCGAAAATTTTCAAGCTATTTACAATGTTTATTATTTACAATTACAAGTATTCTTCTTTCCAAATATACATATTTAAAATAGTACAAATATTCTGCTTTCCAAATATACATATTTAAAATTAGGTAAAAAATTTGAGGGTGTTCCAAAAATTTTAAACGCAGTTTCGTGAATTACTCGATCTGCCCTACTATCTATACTTAACAAATTCATGACCAGTGTTATTATTATTTAAAGAAATCGTCGCAGATAAATACATACATACATACATACATACATACATACAGATACATAGGCACATATCACCGAGCGACAGTAAATTTTACACACAAAAAATGGGATATATTCGCGAAACTATGGGTAAATTATAGAAAAACTGCATACTTAGTTTTTCTCTCTGACGTCAGGATTTTTTTTAAAAGGACTTTGAAATTTAAAAATATGATTACTTCAGAAAATTATTTAAAAAATTCAGAGCAATGTACGATAACAATAAGGGTATCATATAAAAGAAAAAGTTCTGTAGAATTTTAACAGAATAAGTTTTTGGGTACATCATCGAATTTCGACCTGCAAACTTTATTAATTGAAAAAGATAAATTTTATTGAAAGCGCATTTTCAATACCTATTCGTCCTTGTAAACCAAAAACCTTATTGTTTTTAAATTCTACAGAATTTTCTCTCTCATTTGGTACCCATATTGTTATTAATCATATCTTTAAAATTTCAAAGTCGTTTGAGAAAAAATCCTGGGGTCACACAGTGCGGCCGAAATTCAAAATATGTACATATAAGCGTGTTAAAAATATATATATATATATATATATGTATATAAGGAGCAGAAATGGGCATCTCAGTTTTGTTTTATTCTATAGCTAATATTTTTCTACGTAAACTTCAATAGGTTTAAAGGCAGCATGCAACAGCGTGTTGCTATTGTTGCATTCAGCAACTAAAATTTTGTTTAAAAATCACGGCTTTTCAGAGTGAAAAACTAAAAACGCAGTTTTACTATATTTGTTTCATA